CATGTCCAAAACAGAATTTGACTCCCCCTCCCCCCCCAAAAAAAAAACCAACCCAATCTTCTTCCCAATGTCCCTATTTCTATACAGTTTAGAAATCCTGGATCCATCCAGTCACCAAGTTTCAAAACCATGAAGTTATTCTTGGCTCCTCACTCTCCCCAATCATAACTATTCAGTACCCGAGGTGCTGATTTTACTTCCTCAACACTTCTTGCTTCCATACCATTCTTTCTACTCAATTAGTTACCATTCTAGTTCAGGTCTAATCTTCTCAGATGGACTATTATAACAGCTTCCCAGGTGGTCTCCCTGCCGGTCTCCCTGCCTCAATTATCTACCCTCTTGAATCTGTCCTACACAGAGCTTACAAAATGGTACTCCCAAATCATAGCTCTGACCACATCACTCCTCTATTCAATAAGCCTAAGTGGCTGTCTTTCACCTCAAGGATAATATACAAACCCCTCTCTGTTTGGCATTTAAACTCCATCACAACCTTGTGCCAAGCTTTCTACAGTTTTATAGTCCAGCCTTATAGTTGGGCCTCTTTCATCCTCCTACACACACACACACACACACACACACACACACACACACACTTCACTTCTTAGGATCCCTAGATTCCTTCGAACTAAGCTTAACTGTCACTCCACACAAAAGAATAATCCTGATACCCCACAACTCTAGTGTCTTCCCCCCAAAATTATCTTATATTCATTTTGCTTATGCATATGTATTATATGTATAAAATACAAAGTCCTTGAAGGCATGCACTGTTCCATTTTTGTCTCTCTATCTCTACCACCCAGTATAAAGTTTTGGCACATAACAGATGCTTTATAAAAATATTTGTTGATTGATGCCAGCCTAGCCTTATTTCCTTTTTTTTTTAACTGGTAGATCAAGAAAATGCTTTAGATGTAGTCAACAAAGTGTCTTTTACTATTATTTGGGGAAAAGATGAAGCTACGTACTAAATGATAATTATAATTAAATGGATGTTGAACTGCTTGAATGACAAGACTCAAATAGGAGTCATTAATAATTCAATGTCAAGTAAGCAGGTCTCAGTGGAATGTCCCAGGAATTCCTGCTTGACCGGTGCAATTTAATTTTTATAGTGAATTTACCACTGACAAAAAACTAATAAGGACAATGAACATACTACACTGGGTGACAGTCTCCTAAAAAGTTGTTCACAAGATACAAAACAGGCTGAATCTACTGAAATGAAATTCAACAGGAATAAATGTCTTAAACTCGGGTTCAAAAAAAAAAACCAACTTCACACACATATGATGGGGGTGAGCATATAATTAGAACCGAAGTTTGATTGAAATCAAACACAAAATGAGTCAGCACTGTGCTGTGGCAGCCAAAAAGCTAATGTGACTTAGGGCTACGCTGAGAAGCACAGCTTACAAGAAAGAATAAGGTGGAAAAGAGTCCCCAGGTGCTGTGTGCTGGTCAGTGCATATCTGGAGCATCCTGCTCGTTTTTGAGCAACACGCTTAAGAAGGATGCTGAAAAGTCATTGAGGGTTCAGAGGACAGCAACTAAGGTGAAAGGCTTTTGAGTCCTTTCATATGAGTATCAGCTGATGGAAGTGGGGAAGTTTAGCTACCTACTTAAGGCCCATAGGGAGTAAGATAGCTACGTTCAAAAATTTAAAGGGCAGTCCAGTCACCCAGATTGGTGACTGCCTCTCCTGAAGCATGATTTCAGGAAATCCCAGGCAGTGCTTCACTCCCTTCCCAGCCTTTCCTCACTAGCAGCCACCACCCACCCAGTAACTTTCCACAACAAAGAGTTCCTCCAGGACCACCCCTCCGGAGTGAGGAAGTTTCCTCCTTTACAAGGTAAGCTCCTTGAGGGCAATAACTGTCTCAGTTTAGTATTTGTTTACCCAGAGTTTAGCACAATGCTTCCATTGCAAATGGAAGTTGCAAAGAGGAAAATGTAGGCTTAATGCCAGGAAAAACTAACAATTAGAGAGATGAAGAAGTGAAACAGTATAGATTTAAAGACAGAAGGGACCTCAGAGGCCACTGAAGCCAACCTCTTCATTTTAGAGATGAGTATACTGAGGCACAGAGAGGGTAAGACTTGCCTGGAATCACACAGCTAGCTAAATGTCAGAAGCAGAATTTGAACCCAGTGTTCCCAACTCCCAAATCAGCCTCTTTGGAAAGATCTTCAAGCAGAAGCTGGATGACCACTTGTACATCCCCTCAGAGGCAGCTGGGTGGCTGAATGGACAGAGTGCTGGGCCTGGAGTCAAGAAGAACTGAATTCAAATCTAGCCTCAGACACCTACTAGCTGTGTGACCCTGGGCAAGTCACTTAACCTCTGTCTTAATCCACTGGAGACACCCTGATGGGGTGTAGGCCCTGGGAAAGCCTCCCCACACACACACACTTTTCTTTGAGTCTTCTCCTGTTCCCACATGGTCAAGTCTCTGGCGTTTGCCTGAAACAAGTTCCCTTCCCAGTTAGTTAACTGGCCCACCCTACAATTCCACGACTAGATCCTATCTAGAGCCCAAGACTCCCTTGGCCACATGGTCCAGGACCCTGGCGTTCCCAGTCCTTCTGTTACCTCAGTCACTCCAGACTACTAGGCCACTTCTAGATCCCTCCCACAGTCCTTCTGTATATAAGAATCATCATGGCTGCCATTAAATTGCTCAGACTCAATCTGGCCTGCTTGCATTGGCGACACAAACCTTAAGAGTCTGGCCAATATGGAGGATTCTTGAAATCTCAACCACCCCCAATCGATGTTCTAATAAACCTTGTCTTTGGACAGGACCCAGTGTAGCTATTTCAGGGTCCCATTACCCCCAAACCTCAACAACTCCAGTATCTATGTAGTTCATGGAACATGACTTAACAACAATATGCCTTTCAAGTATGAGTCGGAACAGAAGGCCACTGAGGTTACTTCCAATTGTAAAATCCTGTGATTTTATGTTTTTCAGTGTAGAAACTAGGTATATCTTTGTAGGAAAGTATAAATTTGTGGAGAGCCATTATCTTAAATAAATCTCACCTCACAAGCTCAGGCTATATACATAAGACACTAACCACCACCAGCAAGGGGTATCTAAAGTGGAGGAGTAAGTAGGGCTCAAACATCTATGTCTCAAATGCTAAAACTGCAGAACGTAAGTAATGAAGTGCTCACTGGAGAGATTTCCCTTCTCTAAACTGAGGACAGCAATATTAGCCAAACCTATGAGACTATCAATACTATAAGGCTTACTTCTTATGACAATACTTAAAGTAGTCTACCAACTACAAATTATGATAAAATATGGGAGTTAAAATAATCCCTAATAAGAGCCCTAATGCGATTCTATTACCCAACAAGCTCATCTCACTTGAAGTTCAGGAAGCCATCCATGTCTATCAAACCTTTTTGATCAATTTTCTCTGAAATGTCTTCTCCTAAGACATTTATAATCCATGCAGTATAATTTAGCACTTAATTTTATATATTGTCCTTTATTGTTCAATAAAGATTTCATTTCAGTATTTTCTCCCCTAAATGGATCATTAAGGGTACAATTCTTAGTTCTCTCCTACCCTGTAGCCTATCACAGGTACTTCACGGTACCTCAGCAAAAATTCTGACTGACTGAATGACTGGAAAAGAGTATTCCTCTTGCCTTATTGCAAAACCAGATGGTTAAGAAAGCAATTCAAATAAATAGTTTAAGGAAAGAAGGAAAAGTACCTTAATTATAAAGCTCAGAAATGAAGAGAGCTGAATGTGGAAATTTTTATCCCAGAATGGAGGCTTTATCAGTGTATATGAGGAACTTGAAAAGAGGAAAAAGTACTGAAAATTTCTGAGGAAAAACATGCTTGCATACAGAAACAAATATGAGAGTACTGGATTAGGTAAGCTTAACTATGAAATATTACTTCAGTTGCAGAATAAATTAATGGTACTGGCATTTGCAGAACATTTTAAAGTTAGTGAAGCCTCTTACATCACGTCTTTCAATTGTCTGTTTTACAGATGAGGTAACTGAGGCTCTACGAAGTTAAGGACATAATTATTAGACTCATATCACCTCTCACCTAGATCTGAGTGCTCTTTCCTCTCTAAAGTTTGCCTTGCATGTTTTTTATATGTTATTTATTTATTTATGTTATATCCCTATTAGAATGTAAGCTCCTTGAGAGGAAGATTTGTTTTCTTCTTTCCGTTTTATCCCCAGTCTTTAACAGGACACCGGCCACATATCAAGCACATAAATGTTGCAGATTGATCGATTTTCACTCTAAACGTGGAACTAAATGAATTCTGTGCAGGTCTTTAGATGTTACTGGTATAACAACGGCAGGAAGCTAATTCCCACTCTTCTCGGTTGGTAGGAGGAGGGTTAGATTGAATATATGCAATTATGCTTTCTAAGCCATTGGTAATGAAACACAGGTTTAATTTTAGGATGGGGCACTGGGAGGGCTCTCTCTACAGCAGAAATTGGGTATGTCACTTTCTCTTCTGGGTGTGAAATAAGTAGGTCTGAGGGAGGCTGAGTGCATGAGGGACCAAGGCTTTCGAACCTGTAAAAGCAGTGTGGAAGAAACTTGTAAACTGGGTTGGGATGTGCTAGGGCAAACGGTGCTAAAAATGGACTTTATCTGCAGCTCTCGAGAAAAGGATGAGCAGAAAATGTGTTTGGCAGCCCAGGGACGCAGGAAGGAGTAGGGTGGACGGCTCGGCGCAAAGGGAAAATCCCTCGCTGGGGGCCCGCTGTCCGGCTAGCGAGCAGAGGACGTCGAGTGGGAAGTGTATGTTGCAGGATAAAGCTGCTGTGATTGGCTGGAGGCGGGCGAGGGAGGGATAGGGCAGCGAGGGGACACGCAGAGGGGCCAGGAGCCGGGCAGGGGGAAGGAAAAGAAGTGTGGAGAGAGTAATTCGGTGGTTGTGCTGTAGGTACTGTCACACACAAACACACGCGGACACCCGTTTCCCTCGCTCTTACCCGGCTGTTGCGGTCGGTCTCCTGCACCTCCTCAGCGCTAGGTCCCCGGCGGATAAGCGCTCTCAGCAGCCCCACGTTGTTGGTGCTGGCGGCACTGAAGAGGGACACCGCCTCCGGGACGGCCCCCTCGTCCGCGTAGTCCTCCACCTCTGAGCAGCACCAGGACTCGGGCTCGCCCTGCTCCAGCCAGCCGTCCTCCCCATCAGACGGGTAGAAGGAATCGTCCGAGGCAATGCTGCGAGCATCTGGCAGGAGGGAAAAGTCCACATACTCCTCGTAGTCTTCTTCCGCCCCCTCGTCCTCTTTCTCCTCTCCGGCTCTCAGGGCTGGGAAGGACTCCTCCTCCGCGACGCAGCCCGGGCCAGCCGGTTGCTCCCCGTTGCCGCGGCCGTTGCCGCCTCCTTCTTGGCAGTCCCCCGACAGCAACCCCATGCTGGCGCCCCGCCCCGCTCAGCCTCGGGCGGCGTGAGCTGGGTGCGAGGGAGCCAGAGAGGCCAGCGGGGGCGGATGATAGGGTAGAGCAGCCCCCTTCCGAGACGAGGCGAGCTGCGGAGGCTCCTCGCGCGCTCTCCCAACTCTCCTAGCCCGGGAAACTCTCCACGTGAGTCGGGTGCCCCACGCTGCACTGCCCCGGTTTGCGGTTCCCTGAGGCTCAGGACCAAGGCGGGCGTGTATCTGGGGGAACGTTTTCTCCCACTTCCACTCACCGCTCTCCCCCACCCCCCGAAAAATACATTTTAAAATAGAACAGATTCTCCCTGCAGCCTCCGCCTTGCCGGAAATCAAAGACTATCTTTTTTCACTTGGCTAAGAAAAGTACGAAGCTGCAAACGCCAAGCCCCAGCGGGGTTCTGGAAGAGCGGCTGGGGGTTTCCAGACTTCTCAGGCGCAGGCAGAGGCAGGGGGCGGGTGCCGGGGCAGCCCCGCGTGCAGCGCAGGCCACGGGAATTCACGCTGGGCGCTCACCGAGATGTGCGTTCTTTGCAGAAGGCTGTCTTAGCTTAGCTGTTCGACTGACCCGCCGCCGTCAGCTCTTTCCCCTCCTCCTCTTCCAGAAATCCCCGGGGATTAATTTCTCCGACAAAAGGGAGGTGTGGCCCAGAAGGGAGCCCCTGTCTGAAGTTGAAAAAGAAACAGGTGGGGCTCCCCGCGGCCAAGGCTGGGGTTACTGCCCGCCCCACCCACTTCTGGCGGTGAGAGCGGGGAGCTAGCGCCTGGTCTGGGAGGATGCGCTAGGGGTGCCCGCTCCAGCTTTCGCACTTTGGGAATCTTTAGGCGAGTTTCCAGCAGGGAGAAAGAAAGCAGTAGTAAATAACTGCATTCTTCTCAATGATCCTAAGTCTAAAGAAGGCACACCCCCTCCCACATCTAAAGTTAAGCAAAAAGCGACTTGTCAAACGCCCGATCCCTTCGGGTCCTGCCTCAGATTCAATACAATTCTCCCTGGGACCGTTTCAATAAATAAATAAATAAATAAAAGTCTCAGTAGGTACTTTCTTTCCCCTGATCAGATACTCTTAGTCCATTTTCCATTTTCTCTCCACCCCTGGGATCTCGAAGCCATGACAACAGCCCGTATCTTCCATAATAAACTCACTCACCTTCTGTCCTCTTCCTCTTTAAGATCATGTAATCATTAAAAGTACATCAAGAAAAAAGGAGGAGGGTTGGGAATGAGGAGCGGAAAATACCGCAGATCAGCCTTAAATAGTCTACTCTAAATCCCCGTTACTCTGCTAGCTGGTAAACTGAGCGTGCTGGTCGGTAAACAAACTCTTTATAGCTGGCAATTCCCTAAATTATTAACCCTTTGGCCCTGCCTTGTGTGTAAGGCTCGAGCAACCCTAAGAGGGAAAACAAAAAGAGAAGATGAACAAAATCTAATAGAGTGGTTGGTTCTCAGAGGCAGGGGGAGGGTAAAGGAAGGAGACAGCCAAAAGATGTGTACTCTCTAGGCTTGTGCCAAGTGGTAGCAACGGTGCCAAGAAATGCCCTTCCTCCCCTTGTCTTCGAGGATGAGAAGGGAGTAGCAACCTAACTGCACAAAGGAACATGAAGGAATGGAAAGCAGAAGAAAATACAACCCTTCAGAAATAGAGTCTAGGGGAAAGGGAATGAAAGTAACTTCAAAGTATAATGTTAGATTGTGGGACAGAAGAAAATTGGAGAAAAGACTGGTGAGGAAATCATTTTTCTTTGGTGAGTTTTCTACTGCAAATATCTGGATGAAGACAGTGGAGACCACAGCCTAACCTCAGCCTCCCCAAGGGGGAAAAAAACACTCATAGGTTTAAAGTTGGAAGGAACTTCAAAGTGCAAGGTGCAGCCCCCTTATTTTATAGACAAGGAAATAAAGGCCTGGTGAGGTCAAGAAAATGGCCCCAAATCTATGCAAAAATGAAAGAATGAATGAATGAATGGTAAAAATATCTATTAACCTCTTACAAAATATTGAAGTACCAAGTGTTAAAATGCTAGGAATACAAATAAAAAAGTAAAGTCAGTCCCTGACCTCAAAGAGTTTACATTCTACTGAGAGAGTTGTGTTGGAATGATGCCCTGGAGAGGTGTTTGAAAAGTTTCTGGAGTGATGTGTTGAAGCTATTGGGAGAGTAGCTTGCCACACTTTTCCCAAAAGTATTTATTGACTTGATTATGGTTCCAGAACCAAAAGAATCAGGGTGAAGAAAGGCAAGAAGAAAGATGGAGGCTGAGGGGAAGAGGTAATAAAGTGAAGTATGGCTACAGGCATGCCTAGATATAAAGAATCACATCAGACATTCACCAGTCAGAACCAGGAGACACTGGGGCAGGAGTTCTAGTGCTAAACAGAGCAGGTTCTTCATTACATAATCTCATAGCCAGAATTTGACTAGATCTAGCACATTTTCCAAAGTACCAAGAGTAATTCAAAATTGCCCCAATGTCCATAATCAATCAACAAGAACTTAGTGGGAAAAAAAAGTATTTATTATGCTCTACCTCCCAGGCATTGTGGTAGGTACTAAGGATATGAAGACAAAAGAGAAGCAATCCCAGTCCTCAGGACCTTACATTTTAACAAGACCATTTAATGTGCTCATGGATAAGAGACAGACAGACCAACAGAGCATTTATTAAGTCCTTACTTAAGGACTGGGGATACAAATCAAGCAAACAAGACCATTTCTGCCCTCAAAGAACTTACATTCTAAATAGAGAAGACAACAAATAAATGGGTGGGGGTGGTATGGCCATAGTGATATGGGGTGAAAACGTCAGAGAAGTGGCATGAAGGCCTGGTTCTAGACAAGATGAAGTTCAATCACTTTTTGGAGCTCAGTCACAGGAACAGAGTCCCTTGCCCAATGGTGTGGAGGTGGCACATAGAAAATTCATGAAAAGCAGATACAGTCTTCTTGGGAATGGGGGTGGGCACTTGCAGTTACAAGGAAAGACCTAATGCAGAAAGTGTTAACTTGAGCTTAATCTTGAAGGAAACTAGGGACTCTAAGAAGCACAGTAAGAAGAGAGAGAGAGAGAGAGAGAGAGAGAGAGAGAGAGAGAGAGAGAGAGAGAGAGAGAGAGAGAGAGAGAGAGAGAGAGAGAGAATTTAAGGCACATAGATGGGACATGGAGTAAAAGAAAGTCAGGATGGGGGCAGCTAGGTGACATAGTGGATAGAACACGGCCCTGGAATCAGGGGGACCTGAGTTCAAATCCAGCCTCTGACACTTGGTAGCTATGTGACCCTGGGCAAGTCACTTAACCCCAATTGCCTCCAGAAAAGAAAGTGGAATGGCTAGACTGTAGATTCCATGGAAAAGAGTAATATGGAATAAGGGTGGAAAGACTGAATGAGGATAGGGTATGAAGAACTTTAAATGCCAAATAAAAGAGTTTATAAGGAATACTAGAGGTAATAGGGAGCCACTGAAGCTTGTTGAGATGTGGGGGATGACATGGTCACTTGGACAAATCATTTTCTTAGCTGTGTGGAGGATGGATTGAAGTAGGGAGGGATTTGAGGCAGGAAGACTATATAAGGCTATTGCTTTAGTTAAGAACAGAGATAATGAGAACCTGAACTAGGATGATGGCTGAGAACAAGAAATGGGATGAGTGTGAGAGATACTGTGGAAATATGAACAATTGGCAATTGACTAATTAGATATGTAGGATGAGTGAGATTAAGGAGATGAGGATTACACTGAGATTGCCAACCTGGGTGACTGGAAGGATGGAGCTGCCATTGACAGAGAAAGAGGACACTCTCCTGGTATAAACTGTGATAGGGTGTTTTCTGGGGCAGACCACTGGCTTCTACCCGCTAACTTTTTTGTTCTAATTTTGACATTTGCTCCTGATGCTTTCTAGCACTTTGTCTTCAATAGATTCTTTAGGGTCCCAATTTTCTGGGGAGATCAATTATAAAATACTTCTTGGCACCCTGCTCCTTCACAATATGGAATTTAATGTTTTCCATTCAGTAAGTAAAATGATTATATAAACTATTTAAATCACAGTCTTTGACAGGAAATATTTTAAGCAAAGATAATAATTGAACTCAGAACTCCAAGTCTGATTGAAGAAAGTGTTAGGAGAGAGTCATAATTCAAGAGAGGAAAGGAAATAGAAAACTGGGGTGGGGGGGTAATCTGACCATCATCTCCTAGTGACATGTGCTAGCTTAGCATGTTGACATCAGGGACACATGCTAAAAGGGATTTATTTACTAAGGAACATGCAGCTGTCAGGGTTATGCAGGGCTAGGTTTTCTCCTGGCCACAAAATAAAATTATACTTGACAGACAATTTAAAATTTAAGAACACCTTTAGCTACTGTTTGTTAAGCTGCTTGTCTTTGTTAACTTGTTTACTTGCTTCTTTAACCAGTCTTTAAAAGATGAATATAGCAAGAACCCAGAAAACTGCCCTGAAAGCTTGTGGATTAATTATCAGAACCTGAAGTCTATAGGAGGATTAATGTCTAGCAGGTGTATATGTTTATCTATCTATATATCTGTCTATCTATCTATCTACCTATCTAGGTTGTAAAGATTTGTATAGATATGCACGTATGCATATATGGATTAGTATACTTTTATATAGATATACACATGTCTATGTGAATATATGTACATGTATATAGACTGGCATATGGTATGTGTGTATGTACATATGTATATATGTATGCCATATACCATGTACATAGATACTCATATATACATGCCTGTTATATACCTGTTAGACATTAATCCTCCTCTAGACTTCAGGTCCCGGTAATTTACCCAGAAGCTTTCAAGGCAACTTAATGGGTTCTTGTTATATTCTATATATGTATAACACATATCACACATATATATGTTGGTATATGTGTATGTATATACACACATGCTGCTGGTATGTGTATATAGATAAATATATACCAGTTACATACCTGCTAAGGCTTTCTAGCCCATGTGTGAGTGTGTGTGTGTGCGCATGTGTGTGTATATACCCACATATACAGATTAGATAGATACACACATATAGATATATGGAAATATTTGCTTATTCAGATATATTTATACACTGTGAGTAATATAGGAGTTTTACTTATTTCTAAAGCACTATTCTAATGCTGAATTATAATTTTCAGTTTATTTTCAATAAAAGCTTTGAAATGAAACACAAACAGGTTCCATTCATTTCATTTTGCATTCCATTTTTAATGCCATTTCTGACACTAATAATAGTTTTATATCTGGATTCATAAAAATAAATAGAGGAAAACACCCAGACACAATTATTCTGTTTTTAAGCAGATTTCTTTAAATGGTGAAAATCATATAAACTTTCAAATACCAGATTTAAAAAAAAATTCCAAAAGTCAAATGTATGAAGTATCCTTTTTGGGAAGAGAATCTCAGTATAGTATTTTTGTATAGTGGAAATCACACCAGCTCTGGAATCAGAGGACCTTAAGTTCAAATCTCACCTGTTGTTGCTGTTGTTGTTATTGAACCTCAGTTTCCGTGTACTTCTGTTGCCTCTGTTCTGTTCTGGTCTGGGCCTGTCTCCTGGTGGTTTAAGTTTGATATTTGATACATTTAACAGTTAACAAAAAAGAGATTGCTTAGTCTTAGCAGGAGAAGGATATTCAATGAAGAAAGCCACTGAGAACACCAAAGGGGTGTACTCTACCAATGCAAATCAATACCTGCCTCTTTTGCTACTTATGGTCTAAGAGAGTTGACTAGGATACTGAGAGGTTAATTGACTTGTACCAGGGCACACAGTCAGTATGTGTCAGAAGGGGAACTTAAACCCAGCTCAGGCTCTTCTAAAAGACTATGAAAGGCAGATACTCAGGGTCCCATAGCCAGTCTGGGTCTGAGCCAAGATTTGAACCCTTATCTTCCTGAGTTGGAAACCAATTCTTTGTGTGCCATGCCAAGATCTTTCTCCATATATTCCTTTTAATTCCATTTTCTCATTTGAAAACCTATATTGTTCACAATTTGCATAGAGGAATGCCTGGCTTCCTTTAGAAACTGACTAGTTCATCTTTTTTTGATACAATAATTGTACAAAAGCAAACAACCATACTTTGTCTGGACCCTCAATACTTCATGTGTATATTTCCTCCATGCAGAAATCAGCCCAACTACACCTTCTCACCCTGTGTAATTCTTATCCATATTCTTCTATAGATGTTCCATTAAATAAATAGTAATAATAGCTGACGTTTAGGTAGCACCTACTATGTGCCAGGCAATATGATAAGAGCTTTTCACAAATATCTCATTTGATCAAAACAGTAACTCTGGGACGTAGGTGTTATTATCTTCATTTTACGTTTGAGGA